ATGACTAGTTTAGGAAATTAGTCAAGGTACCTTTCTAAACTTGCTCGTTTTAGAAGTATCTCAGATAACACTTAAATAAATCATCTCCAGATGGTTTTCAACTAATTACTTCTATTACTCGTGTCGGGTATCTAGGGAAGAAAGATACGTCCCATATTTTCTGAAGCTGTAAAGAATATCCATGAAGACGTTTTATAGACTTTCTGAAGGAACAGCTTATTCAGAAAAAAAAGATGTTACACGTTTAGTCAAAGCGCATGGTAATCGATGGAATAGCTTGTTAGCGGTTATCAGACGGCGATAATTTCTAACGAATAGCCTCTATAACGTTGAGAAGCAAGGTTCCCCGATCGTCAACTTAATGTGATGCAGCTGTAAATCGTTCGACCTTCTCTCTTTTTTTTTACCCGATAATGGTGAAAATTGTCCGGTTACGTCGCACTTATAGTCTGTTTAAAACGAGCGCAGACACCGAAACTTCGTGTTGAAACCTGATTACCTGAAATCTTTTTTCCCAGAATAAAAAAGGAGGATCTTTATTTTATGGGACATTACGATCAAGTTCACAGTAGCCTTTCGATTTTCGTTATTTATAATCATGTTTCTTGCACACCGAAGGTTCGTATTATAAAGAATTCTTTAATTAGAAATACACGTATTAAATACTTGGAAATATTGTAAAAATAATAAGTAATTTAATTAAAAATGTCACAATTATACGTGTAATTTGGAGCAGAATTTTCTTGAAGATTAGGGATAAAAATGAAATTTTTATCATTTGGGTTCTCAGAAGTCACTGATTACAAATTATCGCCACGATTGTGCATGTGTATCATACCTATATTTATCGCGGTTTTGAAAGAAATTTGATGTATATACGAATACATATAGCTAGCGAGCATTATCATTAGTTACATGGTCGAACGAAATTGAATGTTCGCGTACATCGTAACTAATTAACGCTGTTTATTATTTCCGGTGATGACATTTTAATCGACGATGAACCCGCGACTGATATTTCTTGCAATATTATGATACTTTATCGAACAACAGTGACTGTATTTATTTAAAGTTGGGTTATATAGTGCTATATAGTTCGTTAAGATTTGAACAGGAAAAGTTTAATTTGTTTTGACGGAATTTTAGGCGTATCAGGTTTATTAATTTAAAGGCTATCAATAATTCACATTTATTTTTGTTTTAAATACCCTGGATTATTATATCTCGTATCTGTCCCATTATGTTAACTCTATTATATTTTCGCCGTTTTATATTAGGAATATTAATAACGCGTTGAAGTAATTATTTTTATCAGAGTTTAAGCTTTAATTTGATGTGCCATAAGTGCACTTTTGTGATAATTTTATGTCATCAAATCGTGTTTAAAAAAATGAAAAAGAATTCGGCGGATCGTGGAGAAAGCCACAATTTTAATTCAATTTTGTATTTCATATTATTATCATTTTTATAATTTTAGTTTCCTTGAGAATTATTATTCAAATACATGAAACCCTTTGAATAAAAGATTATACATTTAGTTTTAGGTTAATATTCTTGTATTCGTTTTATAAGTTTGGGTCATTATTAATCATTGAATAAAGTTGCATTTGCAAAAATGTCAATATACAAAATTAAATAAATTTGCTTTCTTGAAAGCAAGAAAGAGAAAAAGAAAAGAAGTGGAGAAGTCGTAAGGGTGCGTATCAGGGGTTGGCGGGGGTGTATTGATCTGCAGGGTTGCACGAGAACAGCGCCACATATTGGTTCACAAGCACAACTAACGTCTTCATCCTTTCAACCGCGTTTTCAACCCCTTTCACCTGTTTCCGTGTTTCTTTCACCCTTGAAATTCACGCCGTCTCTAAATCGTGGCTTTGCGCCACAAACGTTCACGCGACCACCAGGACAAAGGGTTGAAACTCTCTGTTAAAATCAAGATATCCCAGGGGGTCGTTGTTTTCCTTTCGTGTAATTTTGATATTTCACTTGAAATTGATTGACTCCATAAAACGAAAACTACAGAAAAACAAATGTAACAAACTATTAAATTTAGATTAATAAATTAAATTCGCTCGATTTGATTTACTTTCAGGTGTGGTTCCAGAACCGAAGGGCAAAGTGGAGGAAAAAGGAGCATACGAAGAAGGGCCCGGGGAGGCCAGCGCACAACGCTCATCCCCAGAGCTGCAGCGGCGAACCAATTCCACCTGAAGAGCTGAGAAGGAAGGAGCGGGAGAGGCGGCAGAAGAAACTGCTGAAGGCTCTCGAACGACAGCAGAGGAAATTAGCCGCGAAGGTAAGTGAAAATTGTTCCACTGCTCCTTGATTACCCTGAAGGACATCAAAAATCGATCCTCCGATCGGGAAAATAAAAGGAAGCACGTTCTGAATTCAGGGTATCACCGTCGACCTGTCGACGCTGCGCGCCGAGTGGGAGTCGCGTAGCGCCGCGGCGTCCAGTGGAAACACCCTAAACGGCGCTCTGGGTGGTTCCTTCAACTCGTTGAGCAACAACGAGAGCAGCAGCGTGTCCGGTTCCGGGAACGACGCGAACGAGGAGATCGACGTGGTCGGCGGTCTAGATTCTTGTAGCGAGAGCGGCAGCGAGAGGGTGGATTCTGTCGCGGATGGGTCCGCGGATGGGGAGTGTTATTCCAGCCTGACCAGCGGCGCCAACGAACCGAGCGACCCTAGGAGACCCATGAGCCAGATACCAGGAAATCCAGCTCCGAACTGCAGTCTAGGCCTCGATCATCTGAATCATCAACAGGGGATCCATCATTGGGGTCTCAGTCTTTCGGAACGAAGAAGAGAACTGGCGAACCTGAACAGCGTGGCTGGTGTCCGCTGTCAGACGACGAACAACGCCGGGAATCCTGGTAGAACGTCCGTCAGACAACACAGCAGCGAGGAAGAGGTTCAAAGCAGCAGCATAGACTTGTCTGTGAAAGGTAGAGAGGAAAGGAAGAGGTTGAATCCATTTTCGATCGACAGTCTTCTCGGTAATAATAACAGAACGAGTACACCGGGGTTGCACGAATACAGAGCGTCCACGCCTACACTGTCGACTGGCAGGGAGTCGAGTAGCCCCACGTCACCGATCTCGGTCCCAACCTCACCCTCCACCCTGTAGTAATTCAAGAAATCGAGTCATTTATCAGGTGATAAGCGACGCGAGTTTGTTTGTTCGACAACGAAACGATGGGCCAGTTAACAAACATTATTGACAACGAGAGACGATGGAGTGACGTTTAGGGTAACATCGTATTAGGAGAGTCGGTTAAATATAAATTGAAATTTTTTGGAAATTCATTAATTAATTTATTTTTCAGATTAACAGTAATTTCAGCATAGCTTAATTAGCAAGAAATCAACCCCCTCTGGTGAATATATTTTTGAAAAATAATATCTATACCCTAAAATCATTTCAGTTTGTACAGTGTTGAGCATAGTAGGCTTCCTACAAGAAAATGATGATTCATCCCATCCCACCCCCGATGGACTTCACAGTTCTGGAGTTTTTGCCCCTCCTCGAACTCCTGCCTCTTCCCTTAGGTATTCCTGTAAAATTAATATTTCATACTTTTCAGGTATGTACTGAATTTTATAACATTTAATATTATTTTGTTTCTAAATCACTTTTAATAATAGTATCGTCAAAATTAGGACTTTGAGAATTTCTGCTTCCCGTATATCGCCATTTTCCCCTAGAGAAGCCTACTTTAATCGCAGGTGTACATCACCCTGAGATGTCTAAAAAAAGATAAAATTTAGGAATTCTGTTTGATAAATGAAAAATCTAATTTTTCAATTTTATAAATATAAAAATGTTACAAAATAGCGGAGTTATTCGCTAATTTCGAAACTCCAGCTGACTGAGAAATCTCTTTTTACCAAATGAAATTAATTTTAAACGTTTCTAAAAATTCTGATTTATATTTGATTGATCCATGTATCATTGTTCGATGAAGAGGAACGATAAGCAAGACTATCCGTTAGTCCTCGATTCAGTGATTCGAGGAATACGAACTCGTTGACTGAATAAAGAAAAGCTTATATCAGTTTCGACATATCTGCATCGAGTGAGTGAACGATCTCTGAGTCTGTCCAGAGTGATCGGATTCCTTCTTTGTTCTGTGTGACGATCGTGACGGATAGAAACGAGCATGTGCAATAAATCACGGATGATCTTTTCTTTTCCTTTCTCACATTGAAAGTTGAAACGTAAAAGAAAGTACATACTGTGCGTGTGAGTGAGAGAGTGACAGACTGCGTGTTGTAATTTAATGTAAATAGCTCGAAATACGGACGATTATCGTTTTATTTAATTGATCGTAGCCGATACCCCAGTGTTCGTCGAATCGCGGATATTATTTAAAGCAATAGAGATTTCGCCTGATGCGCGTGTATATAGGTATATAGAAAGGAGAGACGAAGATTTTAGGCAGCGACTGATGCTGAGATTTAAGATGCGGTACAAAGATGAGTTTTGGAATCTCTTTGTGGGAGAAAAAAGAGATAGAGATGGGATGTTACGAGATGCCATAAAATCTGGGATGCGAGACAGTATCTACCGTATATTCATTTCAAATATATTAATTTATTCTGAAGACTAACATGCTCTGCTCTGCTGTATCTGTTTCATCGCCTCATCCTTCATCCCCTTTGTCAGTTACCTTCATCGATTCGTGCACAAAGTAAGTGAAATTAATATTTTATTTTGTTAATTAGACAGTTCTGGTATTTCATAAAATATTAATGTTTATTTTGGATTCTACATCTGAAATTTTTCAATTTTGCTTTGAAAATATTATTGAGATATTATCGATATTTTTATTTTACTTAATGGCAAATACTTACATTTTTATAGTAAAAGTGATATAATGACACCCTTAGAATTTTATTTTTAATTGCCATATTGCTAATGCAATATTCAAAATTATAAAAAAATAGTTTTGTACGAGGTTCTTCTGTTTCTACATGCATTAGCGTAACTAGGTAGGGGGTAGGGTGGATTTCACCCCCCAAAAATGTGGAATGGCCCCCTCAATATTCAAAATTTTCGATTTCCAAACTCCAAAAGTATAGAATTTCAAAATTAAAAAATCCTAAAATTAAAAAATTTCAAATTTCCGAAATTTAAAAATTATTAAGAAACTCACCCCAATTCACTCCACTCCATAGGAAAATTCTAGTTACGATAATGCCTACATACTATATCTCAGAATAATATTTAAAGTTCCGTAGCGACTGTTGGGATAAACAAGCTCGAAACTCAGCCAGTTTACATCGATCAAAACATAAACATAGCTTTCTGTATAGACGACATTCTTAATTCAGTTTCACGCTATCCGGCTGCGTGATTACATCGCGTTTCGTTTCGCACCGTAAATGAGAACACAGAAATTCGCGACTAAACGCTGATTTGTAATTTTAATTAATTACAGCAAATAGTCCCACGTTGTATCTTAATTATGATTGAGTGTTAGTACGTGGTTCTAGTTGATCAGTGAGATACTTATCGTGGTCTTATGGAGAATTAAATACCGTTGTGTTGTTCGATGTAGATAAAAAAGTGACCGGAATTTTATTTGCGATTAGGTGCTGGTATCTTTCTATTTGTTAACAATCGTTGCTGAATGATGGTAGATGATTAATTATCTGGGAAGACAACAGACTGGTGAGTGCAACACATTATTTCAACAAATATTATTTGCAATTCAAATGTTAATTTTTCAGTATATTATTTGATGTTAGATACTGTTATTCATCTTTTTATAATTCATCGTTATTATAAACCATAATTTCATAATAACCTAGCTATCAAATATGAAATCTAACAATAGTCTCGTTTGAAAGAGGAAAAGCAGTAAATGTCCATTAAATTCAAATAAATCTTTCCTATTTTCTGTCGTAATTAACACGATTCGATGATCAGGGGGCATCGAACGCTTGGTAGAAAATATTCACGCTATTCGAGATCAAACGAGGCGGTTTCATTGCCGTTAATAATTTCCGCGACACCCGCGATTAATTACGCGTGTTTATCGTCTACAACGTACAAGTGGAGCGTGATTTATGAAAGCTTGATTGCGGCACGTCTTTTACTCGTTGCTGGAACTATAATCTAAGAAAGCATCACCCACGACTTGTAAACGACTCAATTCGTGTTCCACGAGAAAAGCGTGAGATTCTTTGTCGATATCCGCCCACACTGTGCCGATAAACCTTTTGTTCGTGTATCGCGAAATCGTGACGCGTGAATTGTCCTCGCGTAGGAATAATGAGCTCGAAATTACTGACTCAAATTACATGTAGGGAGTTGTATAGCCACTTTCACTCACTTTCAGTTACTTTCGCAATATTAAATATAGAAATTTTGCAATTTACTAATTATAAAATTGCGGTATTTTCATTCGTACCCAAAAATTTTAGAAATTTATAAATTTTTGTATAATTGCATATTCTATAATTTTTAAATTTACGTGTTTGTAGCAAATCATAAAATATGTCATTTTAGAATTTTAAAGGTTTTTATAATTTTATCTTTTCTATATGTAAATTTGTAAATTATAGAATTTTTCTATTTATAAATAGTTGTAGAATACGTAATTAAAGTAACGAACGAGTGGGTAATTAAATTCATTAGCAATACTTGAATAAAATATTTCATACACTGGTCTTTTACCATGCATCAAAATTAATGAAGATATACCGGAAACGTTACCATATGCAACATCAAATAATACGAGATAACATATGCAGAATTATATTTAATTTTACCTAAAAATTCATCACATGCATTCCCGTAACTAGGTAGGGGGTTCGGTGGGCCTGGCTCCGTTAAAAATCTGAATAGGCTCCTCTAAAAAAATGTGAACCTTCACCATTCCAAAATTTTGAGATTTGAAAATTTCGAATTTTCTATTATTGTTCAAAAATTTCAAATTTTCTATATTTTAGAATTCAAAATTTCTAAGAATCCTGACCCTCCGCAGAAGAAAGTTCAAGTCACGCCTTATGAAACAAAAAATCATACAAAGTTGAACAAAAGAATTGTAATTAAACCTTCGTCCATTAAACCGTAAAAATTGTTGCAAATTAAAAATGCTTTATACGGCATAAACGTGTTACAAAATGTTCTCTTAAACACTTTAAATCGCGACAAAACGCTTGAAAAATATGATGCAACGCAATGCAACAAAATTTCACGGGGTAAAGTAAGCGTGACGTTTATAAATTCGTGAAATAGGAAGAATAATGGTGGCATAGGTGGTGGTGTCCCGTGAAAATAAACGCACCATTCTCTCTCGCAAATTCGCATGTATGAATATGCATAAAAAATGATATATCAGCTGTATCTCGTCGTATATCAAATTTACATAGAAAGCGCGATCTGTTAATTTTATATATGCAACTTTGCGTTAGATTGCTTTCGGTCGATTCTTTTTTGTTCACCGACGAAAATTTCACCGAACCTATTATTATTCACGAGAAAACGGATATTTATTTAACGTATTCGACCAGTGTGTCCGTTATACCGTGGATGATTATAAATTTTCTTTTAATGAATATTTATGAATTTTATTTAAAGCTTTCGTCTATCAGAGAATAGAATTGGTAATATTTTTTTAGTAATTTATAGTCGATTAGTGCTTTTATTTTGAAAGAAATTTGACGTGTTGATTATTCTATGACTCATATATGGATGCTAGAATTTTTATGGTAATCCATCATGTACGTTATTCGACATGTTGAAATACCATTGCCATTATTTAAGAATTAATTAGCTGGATAATATGTAGAGGGTTTTGTTAAAAATTTAGTTTGGAACCGAGTACACTTTATGATTTATTATTTGTAGTGTGAGAAACTATTATATCAATTATTCTACAGTTGTTAGACAAAATGCAACAACTTTCATTTAGGAATTTGGAATACTGAATACATTCTTTAATTATCTTTCTAATTCAAGTAACGTAAATTATATGTATACCTATTGTATTTAGAAACTTGGAACAGATTGCAGTCAACAATTTCTCTAATTATTTTGCGTCTGGTGAGCAAAATTGGCTATATTTCAATCAAATTATTGTATGATTACAGTGCATTACGCGCTTTGCTCTATTAATATTTTACCTGTTACCATTTCTGACCATTTATCAAAAATTAGAAACACTTTAATTAGATATTCACACCATAGTATCATCATTTGTATATTTTCTATTAAGTGCAAACTTTACTTCCTTTTATAAAATTAATCTATGATTTAAATTAAAATCGATCAAACATAAAAGGCCTATCAAAATTAATTAATTTTTTGCTCTGTTATCGTTGTATTAATTTTTTTTAATTGTGTCTCTATTAAATTACTGCTAATTATTTTCAAAATCATCGAGACATAAAACGATTCCTAAGAAGGAAAATATAATAACTATTTTATTAGCATATCATTTATATAATATGAATCGATTATGTGTTGATCGATTATCGTAAATGGAAACAAGGCTACTCTAAAAATTTGTTCTCATTTTAATGGAGACAATTTGTACCAAGGTTTACAAGAGACATTAAGTGATGATAGGTAGTTGGGATCCTTGATTATTATTTTTAAATTATTTTACTGATATTTTTACATTTATTATAATCCTTTAGTTTCAAAGGGTTAATTATTATGGCTGATGTTACATAATAATTGATTTCCATTTTTTCTTCAAATTACTATCAATATTGCATGAAGGTTCCTCTATCATGTATAATGATTCCTTTAGTTCCAGTCATTCTCCACTTTAGTCTTCTTTGAAATTATCTTTTATTCATTAAGATCCTCGCTATTAACATCGAATACGAATGTAGCCATTTGGAGTACTCTCTTTCACGTACCACCACTGTATAATTACGTGTACACCTCAGATGATATTATTTATTTATGCATACAGAGTTTACTTATGCACAACAAAAAATGTTTTATTAAATATATTTCAGTTTGCAAATGGAAGACTTTGATATATGAGAGAAATAATAATTTAGAGAACGAGAATGGAGAGAGTTACTCGAGGATTAAAAAATTTATTCATTTCATAACTGAGAATCAAAGGTGCTCCGTGATATCAAAAAATTAAATTTTAAGAATTTTTAAAGAAAAATTCTTCAATAATTCAAACATTTGTTATCTGAATTTACAAAACCTCGTTTTTTTCAAAGAAAGTGGAAGTGGGGATTGAAGCGCACCCCTCAAACAAGTAAAAATTAAATATCCATTGAGAATTCGCGGTTTTCGCTAATTGAGCAGTTCTACGTACGCGCTTTTGTTGCTTTCTTTCCATAAATATTCACCGACTCCAAGGTTCCTCGACTACTCGCGTAATTTCACGTGATTTCAGCGAAGCTCAGCCGACACTTCACTCGAAACCGGCAATTTCAGAATTTAATGGGACGTTGAAGCGCGATTTCTTAATTAGCCTCACTCCCTTTTCGATGAGATTCGAAAAATTGCTTCCTCGGCGCTAAACAGATAACACTTCTTTGCAATTACACCCATGAATATGAATGCGAATCGATAGACACGTTGCAACATAGAATGCGAAACAATTTGAAATTTTTGCACCTAAGACGACGGTCATAAATTACTTGTTTAATGTACAGTGAATCTTTTCCATTCTACATGGAATCGTGAACGTAATTAAACGTACTGTTCGGTTCAAGGATCTATAGTAGAATAATCATGAGATTAATAGAAAAGATTAGGTGAGAATATTGATATTAGAAATGTAATAATTAACTGGGATGACGAGTCTTTTTTATGCACTAATATCTTTAATAATTATTATTTATTTTTATTTTATTTATCTATTTACAGACCTAGTCCTTTTTACCCAATATTATATCCTTCTAGAGATTAATATATGCAAATTTTTAATTTTATTTTCAAGTCTCACTGTGGATATTTGGGAAAATTCAATTATCAAGAATTTTGTAAATTATTATGCTTAAATTTTGAACTTCACATTTATCAAGATTTACCATGGAACTTTGAAAAGAGGAGGTGCAAAATTTAAATTTATCTTCGTTAATCGTTTTCGATAAAAAGTCAATTAATCATGGTTAAGAGATAAACACCTTCCCTTGTTCTTGCTGTTGTTTCCCAATGGGGACACCGGTATGGTTTAATGCCATTTTGAACTAATGACCATACGAACGGATCGACAATGAAGGCATCTTCTTAACGAAGCGATCGAGGATCCCATAAATCCTCGGATTATTAATACCTGGCAGTCTCGGTGCGTGAATCCGGCAGGTGGTTGGCTGCCCTCTAATCGCGATCCGGGGAATAATTTACACTTGTACTTCGTCGGAAGCCATTGGAATCTTTAACGACCATCGCCTCGCTTTCGCGCGATTTCCACCACGAGATGAACACAAAGGACCAGGTGGCGGGGAAGGTCGAACCGTTCGATACGATCTGTGATTTTTAATTAAAATCGCTCAATACGGGATGATGGGTTTGACGATGTGGATCACGATGGGATTACTTTCTGACGATCGACGGAGAAATGAGTAAATAAAGAAAGGGATTTGTGAAATCATGAAAAAGAAAGGAGGAATTATAGAAAAGGATCGATGAATTCTCGGATTGGTGTATGTATATAGGAAACGATCGATCTCGAGAAAACAGTGCTT